ACAGGCAACCTCAGCAGGTCCATGGGGAATCTGGAGCCAGCAGGGCTGGAATTAGCACCTGGAATGCTCCTTACCTGCCCCGTATCAGGGATTTGGGATGCTGCTTCCCAGACATTCCCACCTGGACACAACCCACTTTATCCCCCTCATCCTTCCAAAACACTCCAGGTGTGCCAAACCCCCATCCTGCTTTTTTATAGGGAAAGCTGTAAGGAATCTCCCTGTTTAGTGCAGTAAACTCCACCCCCAGGTGTGCTCCGTACCTGCCCTTGAGGGCGTTGAAGAGCCGAATCCCATCTGCAGGGCCACAGATCTGGATCACGTCCTCCCGTGTCAGCTTCAGCAGGTCTGCACCTGGAGAGCCCCAAAAAGGCCCAGAATCACCATTCCCACTCCCCTTCCCCCCAGAATCCCAATTTCCCAGCCTCGTTTTACCCCCAAATTGGCATTTTCCAGCCCATTTGCCTCAAAATTGGCATTTTCCAGCTTTTTTTCCTCCCTCAATCAGAATTTTTAGCCTTCTCAGGTGAGGGTGGGACATGGCACAGGTGAGAGGTGACCTGGTACAGCTAAGGTTGCCCTGGCACAGGTAAGTTATGACCTGGTACAGATGAGGGATGACCTGGTACAAGTGAATGGTGACCTGGCACAGGTGAGGGGTGAGAACTGACCTGAGAAGTTCCTGAAGAGCCGAGCGAAGGTGGAGAAACGATTCCGGTGCAGCCACTGCTGAGCCTCCTGTGGTGTCCAGGTGGGCAGGAGGGCCTGGAGGGCACAGGTGGCACAGGTGAACTCAAGTGGGCAACCCCAGGTGGAAACTGAGCACCCATGCAGGTGGGAAAGATGGTTTGGGGGGGCAAAGAAGGGACACAGCACCACAGGTGACCTGGAAGTGTTTCCAGGTGAGGTGGAAGTGATTCCAGGTGCCATGGAAGTGTTTCCTCTAAGGAATGGGCACAGGTGAGCTCAGGGTGGGCAGTCCCAGGTGGGCACAGAAAGGACACACAGGTGTGCCAGGTGACCTGGAAGTGTTTCCAGGTGAGGTGGAAGTGATTCCGGGTGCCATGGAAGTGTTTCCCCTGAGGAACGGGCACAGGTGAGCTCAGGGTGGGAGGTCCCAGGTGGGCACAGAAGGGACACACAGGTGTGCCAGGTGACGTGGAAGTGTCTCCCCGAAGCCCCTCCCTCTTCCCCCCTCCCCAGGTGTACCTGTGCAGGTACTTACGTCGGCGAGGGGCGCGGGGGGGTCAGGTTGGTGGCTCGGGGACCCACTGCTGGGGACACAGGGGATGCAAGTCAGCGGCTACTGGGCACACTGGGATGATACTGGGGTCAGTCTCAATGGGATACTGGGGGCACTGGGATCATACTGGGGTCACTGGGACAGTGGTGACCCCATCCCAGTAGGATACTGGGGTCACTGGGATACCGGGGTCAGTCCTAGTGGGGTACTGGGGTCACTGGGATACTGGGGTCAGTCCCAGTAGGGTACTGGTGCCTCTGGGATGACACTGGTCTCACTGGGACATTGCTGTCCCCATCCCAGTGGGACACTGGCATCTCTGGGATCATCCTACCCTCTCTGAGCTGACTGGGATGACACTGGGCTAACTGGGACCACACTGGGCTAACTGGGACGCGGCCCCCTCCCCAGCATTCCCAGTCTCCCACTGACCCGTCCCCGACGGAGAAGCTGCTGTGGGAGCTGCTGAAACCTGGGGACGGTGCGTTGGGCACGTAGGTCACCTCGGGCCAGGGCGAGCACTGCGGGACACCAACATCTCAGTACACCTGAGCCAGGTGTGCCAGGTGTGCCAGGTGGCACAGGGGAGGCCTCACCTCGGTCAGGATGGTTGTCTCATAGGATGGTTGGTACTTCTCCTTCTCGTGGGGCGTTCGCTTCTCCATCTTCTCCCGATCCGTCTTCTGCTTCCGGTCGGCGCCTTTGGGCTGCGGCGGGGGCAGCACAGGAGCACAGGTGACACAGGTAGGTGACACAGACTTCTCAAGGCTTGGCAGAGGGACAGGGAAATGGGCTCGGGAGGAGATTTGTCCCCAGGGTTCTGGGGGATGAGGGGTGAGACCATGTGGCACACACCTGTAGACACCTGGCACACACCTGTAAACTTGAGTCTGATGTTAACCCTGAAGCCTAATGTTAACCTTTAAACCCATAGTTAACCCTGAAGCCTAATGTTAACCCTTAAGCCTAATGTTAACCCTTAAACCTAACGTTAACTCTTAAACCCAATGTTAACCCTTGAGCCTAATGTTAAGCCTTGAGCATGATCTTAACTCTTAAGCCTAATGTTAACCTCTGAGCCTAATTTAAACCTTGAACCTAATCTTAACGCTGAGCCTAATGTTAACCCTTGAACCTAACGTTAAGCCTTGAGCCTGATATTAACCCTTAAAACTAACGTTAACCCTTGTACCTAATGGTAGGAGGTCTCACAGGCAACACCAGTCACCAGGGCCAGCTGGGATTGACTCCTAGGTGATTCCAGGTGGGAAGACCCCACGGGTACCTTGAACACCTTGATCTGGCAGCTGGCAGAGTGCAGGTGCTCCGTGTACTCCCCACTCTCGTTCTCCTTGAAGGTGTCGATCTGGACACGGAAGGGAACTCCCTTCTCGCCGCCATGTTTGCGCAGCGTGAACTCCGTGCTGATGCAGTGCACCTGCCAACAGGGAATCCCGTGGGAATGCTGAGGGGAGCCGTGGGGAACAGCCCACGCAGAGTCAGGAGCAGCAGGGACAAGACACCTGTCCCTCACCTGCATGTGGGACACAGCCCACCTGCCCCTCTCCTTAAGACCCCACCTGGATAAACACCGCATCAGTCCCTCACCTGGATGAAGGCCCCACCTGCCCCTCACCTGGATGAAGACCGAAGTCCTCTTGGATGGATCCCACAGGAACTCGACGGTGTTGAGCTGTGTCGGGTTGGCTCGAGGGTCGATGATCCCCACGGACATTGGGATATCTGTGAGGGAACAGGTGAGGCACACCTGGGCCTCCCCCACCTGCCCCAGCCAGGTGAGACTCACCTATGTCCAGGATCCTGTCGCCAGGTCTGTTCCACCTCCAGCCCTCCAGCTGCTGGTGCTCAGTGTACTGCAGCCGCCGGTCGTGGAAAACCACCCGGAATATGCTCTGTGGACAGGTGGGAATGTTACCTGGAGCTGCCTCAGCACATCTGGACAGGTACCAAGATGGGGCAAAGGGAACCACCTGACTGGGCACACCTGTCCCTGTGCTCACCTTCACCAGTTTCCCATTGATTTCTGGAAGTTCTCCGAGTTTCCTGTTGTCCAACATTCGGATCTCGTAGGACTGACCTGGGGGCAGGAGAGCACCTGAGGGTTATGGCACACCTGGGGACCGGTCACCTGGGCACTTTGTTCAGCCAGGGGTCACTGACCCCAACCTATCAAGTGTTGGACCTGTAACACCCCAACCTGCAGAGCTCCCAGTATAGATACACCTGGAATACAACTATAACCATCTGGAATACCCCTAATTCCCACCTGGAATACATCTGTTACTTCCTTGGAATGTACACCTGTAACCACCTGGAATACACCTGTTACCCACCTGGAATACACCTGTTATCCACCTGGAATACACTTGTAACCACCTTGGATACACCTGGGACCACCTTGGATACACCTGGGACCACCTTGGACACACCTGTATGCACCCTATAACAGGTACCCAGCTGAAGGCAATACCACTTCCCCCTTCCCACCTGGAAATTGGGAATCTCCCCATGGATCCTGCACCTCCCAGAGGCAGAACTGTGCCCTCCAGGGCCTGGGCAGGTGTCCCCAGTTGACCTCACCTTGGTTCAGGTAGGTGAGGGTCTCATCGTGCAGCTTCACCGCGGGGGAGGTGGCAGCACACAGGACGTACTGGAAGGGCAGGAGCTTGTCCTGGTTTTCTGGAGGCAAACTGGATTCTTCCTGCTTGAAGATGGGCAGAGCCAGGACATCGCTGTGGGGAGGGAGGAGAGTCACCTGGGGCAGGTGTGGTCCCACAGCACCAGGTGTGATCCCTGACCCCTCGGGTGTTAAGCACTGGGAACCACCTGGCACACACAACTCCAACAACTCCATCCCAACTCCATCTACAACCCCATCCCAGCTCCATCCCAGCTCCAAACTAATTCCAACCCAACTGTAACCACAACTCCATCCCTACTCTACCCCAGTTCCAACCACAACTCCATCCCTACACCAACCACAAATCCATCCCAACTTAATCCCAGTTCCAACTACCACTCCACCCACTACTTCACCCACAAATCCCCCCATGGAATTTCGGGGTCCCCCAGGAACTTTGGGGTCCCCCAAGGAATTTTGGGGTCCCCCAGCCCTGGCATCTCCTGCTGTCAGCACCAATGCCCACCAGCCTGGCACTGCTATCAAACCCTGCCCCGGGGGGCACATTTTGGGGTTCCTCCCACCCTGTACCTCCCTCCCATGACTTTTGGGGTGCCCCCCGAGGTTCTGGGGTGCCCATACCTCATGCTGTAGGCTCCTGCCCCCAGCTCCTGGCCGATGCCCGACAGGCTGGCATCAAAATCCTGCACCAACCCCGACTCGATCCCTCATCCGCCAGCGGCAGCTTCAGCGCCCACGCCATGGCCCCCCAAAAATGGGGTGCCCCCAAAACGGGGCAACCCCCAAACCTGGGGGTCCTCCAAAATGTGGGGAGTTGGGCAAATCACAGAGAGCCTTGGGGCACCCCAAAAATGGGGAGAAACCAGGAGGAGCTTGGGGGAAGCCCAAAAATGGGGAGTTTGGGGGCACCTCAAAAACAGAAGGGCCCTGGGGGAACCACAGAGCTTCAGGGGCACCCCAAAAATGGGAAGTTTGGGGCCCACCCCAAAAATGAGGGGAACCAGGAGGTGCTTGGGG